TTCCTATAAATACCCTCACACCCCAATGTTTCCTATAATTTACTTATTCATCAAATATTTCAAAAAAAATTTAAAAAAAAAAAGAAAAAAAATTCAAATTTTTCGAGCCGACCCGGAACCGGCCCGGATAGGCCCGGAACCGGATTGAACCGCCGGGCCGACTCGGCCCGCCGAACCGTGCATATTACGGGCCGGTTACGGTTCCGGAAAAAGTGAACCGTGAACCGGTATGAACCGGCCCAGAACCGACCCGAACCGGCCCATGACCGTGTCTAACCCTGATCCCCAAGGTCCAGAATTTTGTGGAGCAATTATTTTTCCATCAAGCTGCCAAGAAATTAATATTCAGATTAAATGATTGTTTTATATTATTCCTCAATTAAAACTTTGATTAATTAAATAAGAAAAAATATATATTACCTGAAATACGATATTCGACATGCAATTAAAACGGACCCTGACGGAACCATCAGTACCGAACCTTGCATTTTGCAAGGATCTGCCCATATGCTCCTCCAGATACCTGTATCAAATACTTGTAGGGCCAAGAAATGGGATCCTGAGGACCTTCGCCTTTTGGTATAATAATTAATATTGTATTATGGGACGATGGGCACTGTACAAAATTGCATATATACAACTTTCGAGTCAACTTATAGGACGACTACAGTACTTTCCAGCCAACTACCTTTGTTTTCATTTTCTTAAATTTAAATAGGATAGGAGCACGATTCGAACCCCAAATCTCTACTTTAATAGTAGATGCCAGATATTAACTCTCCTAATAAGGGTTGATCTATTTACCTGCTACCTACTACACACATAATATTAAATACAACAAGCAATTTTGTTACCTTTGATTCACGCACAATAATATATATATATATGGCCACCCCTGAGGTATGGTCAAATCATGAAAAAATCTCTCTTGTCTGGGTAATTACAGTCATCCCATCCTTTAAAATATTTTTATATATAATGTAATTTGGTTATTTACTGAACCAAATTGTATATTCAATTCGGTAAATGGTATGAAATGTTGACGTATCGAAATTTTGGTTCGGTTTTAATTACCGATTTAACATCCCTAAATTTACTTCTGAAAGGGTATTTTTATAAAATAATACATAGTTGAGGGGTGGTTGTAATTACTCAAATATGAGGAGGTTTTCGTAATTTGACCGTGAATCAGAGATGGCTGTAATTTGCCCATATATATGTACAAGTACAATAGAATATAATCAGATGAAACATTCGTCCAATGTAGCATATAACAATAACCTTTCTTCCCAACCAATTGGTTCTCACCAAAACAAAAGAAGATGATGATAAGGCAGCTTCATGTGCAGCCACATGTTCACCCAACTCATGCCCCATAAAACTTGAAAGAATCTTTGGATAATTAGCAAGAATAATAATACCCAAAATAACCCCACCGATGTATTATATATTGGGGACCCTTTCCTTTAAGTCTCTATCAAGTTACACAAAATGACACTATTTCTTAATGAAGGATACAGATTAACATTACACTAAGAAACAAAACTGTGTGCCAGAAATCAACACTAAATGGCAATTTTTTTTTGCATCGATTGCCCGAAAAACCCCTCAGCATGCAGTACGTAAACAAACAAATGGAAAACCATATATTAATATACCCTACTTTCTTTACCAAGAAATACAAAATTTGTATGTATACCCATGCATATGGACACACATCTCCACACTTAATTATTTCAATCTGATTCATGGACCACATATATATAAGTTAAAAAAAAATTCATATAATATATATATATATATATATATATATATATATATATATATATATATATATATATATATATATATACCTATTATGTATATATATATGATATGCAGCTAGCTACGTGTAGCTTGCTTTAATCATGGAAGATACGTACACATAGGCTGGTTTCTTTTTTTTTTTAACTTTTCTAGCCATGCATACGCGAAATTGCGTGGAATTTGATGGGGTCGGTTTAGCAAGTATGCGCCGAACTCCCGGAAATGGGAATAGATATAGAGAAATCGATTGGGTGGGCCGAGATGGATGTACCTAGCTAGCCGAATTCCCAATAAATATTGAAGCTAAATTATTGCCGATGAGCTCGCGGATAGAGAGATCGTAACCGGTAAGCTCGTCTCTTAGAGGCACATAGCCAAGGAACCCGATGCCATATCTCGAAATGCATACAAAAAGGATGCGGAAGTGATGGATATTGAGTTGACTTAGACTTGTTCGAGAAGAAGATATAGAGGACGTGCTCCATAAATAGATGAGGGTAATTGTAATTATACGTAGCAAAAGAATATTTAGCAATAAATGTAAAGTAAATCAAATGGCTAAAGATAGGAAATAATTCTCCTTAGTACAACCAAGGTTGTAAAATGCGGGAATCGGGTCCGAGTCGGTTAGGCACCGCCTCACGATTAACCGTTGTAGCGGTAATTAATCAGCGATAAATCGAAAATAAATTATTATCTTCAAATTTAATGTAATATAATTTTAGATATTATTTGTAAATATTCAGAGCATATATAATAAGATATTTAAATATGATTTTATCCTATCAATTATATATCATAATACATAATACAAAAAATTAATATTAATAAGATCATAATTTAATAAAAAAGTTTACAAAATAAAAATATAATGAAAGTCTTGTGCATCCAAAATTATTGTTAACATTACAAGCATATATCATTAGGTTCTTTAAAAATAAATATTAACATAAACGAATTAAAACAAATCATAAACTCCTTTTTGTTTAAAAGCCCAACTTTTTTTATTTAAAAAAAAAAAAAAAAGACCGAACTTTGACCAATTTTTGCCATTAAAGTTCGACTCGCCTCCAAGGTTTGACCCCCTCAACCTGCCTCAGACCGCCTCACAGGTAAAACACGCATTACAAATCTTAGAAATCGTAAAGATTTTAGACCGCCTCCACCTCGGAAACTGATTAATCGACCGCCTCGACCCATTTTTAGAACACTGAGTACAACTATGTACAACTATATTTACAAGTGTAAAGCGAATGTATAGACACAATCTCAACAATTTAACATCAATATACACTCTTTTTCACAACTCTTTTCTTCTCTCTTGTTTTTATCTTTTTTTCGTTTCATTAGTTCGTCTTCATCCGCTAACTTTTTTTCCTTTTTCCTAATATTGAAAATTATGGAAAAAAAAAATCGACAATAGTCATGTATAGACACTCGTAGAACCAATAGTAATCCATAGTCACTCATAGTCATTTGTCACATAATTCAAAAACCTTAACTCCCTCTTTGAACACTAGTCGTCAGCCGGACATAGACACTCACAGTAACCCATAGTCATCTATGCTCATAAAAAATAAAACGAGATTTACAACCACTGTCACATAGCTGCCACCACCACCATAGCAATCGCTTCCCCTATATCGTCATAACCACCCCACACCATAACCCCGCTACCACCGCCTCCATAATCGCCTCCCCCCACCATAATTGGGAGCGACAAATATATATATATATATATGTATATATGTCTGAGTTAAAGAAATGTAAATAAAAATATATATTTTTTCAGTGTACAAAAGCAAGTTAGAGATACAATTTAGGAATGTGTCTTATTATATTTTAATGTAAGGGTATATTTAAAATAAAAGAAAAGAGTTGTCATTTAATTTTTATTAAATTAGGTACTATTAATCATGTTCCAACAATAATGATGAAAAATTACACACGTTTGCTTCTCTCTCTGTTTTTAACAGAATGTACTCCATGATTTTTCTTCCTAGTGATGATCATTAAATTATTATTATTAAATAAAGAAACAAAAATTAACTAAACAAATCGTTATACAAAATTTGATACAATAATTGACTAATATATAGATTCGTGTGTCAACATGTAACAAGATGGGGACACGTCACGGAGGCCAAAAATAGAATGTTGTGGGGCCACGACTATGATCCAACGGCCAGAATCAACTGGGGACGTTGGACCACAGGATTATCAGGCGGTGGGTCCCACTCCCATGGTACGCTACACCTCTCGCCTAACGATTGGTCATTGTACAGGTTTGCCACTGCACCTAAACACGAGGCTGCTGCACCACAACACTACTACAACCAAAAATATGTCCTCTTTTTCACCCCCATTTCACATTTCTTTTATTTTATTTTATTTTATTTTTATTTTATTTCTCCAATTAATTATAATATCGAATACAGAAAGACAATATTTTGGTTATCCCAATAAAAAAGTTTGTAGAACATTTGTCTTTTAAATGAGTCAAACTGTCAAATGTAGAGCTAAATTCGCGTAACTTAAGATAAGACCGTTCATATATAATTAGATAATTAAAATTCTAAAACCATCTTCTTTCTTGTGAAAATAAATTAATATAATTTAACTTGTTTCAAGTGTATTAATTTATAGATGTTTAACTGTACGAGATACTTGAAGTTTCAAACTCGCATAAATTTGTACCAGTGCGCTATTACGTAAAAATATAATTAGAAGTTCAATTACTTTTATTAAGTAAAAACATAATATTTAATTACAAAGAATTACTTATAAAGTTAATTTTTGGAAGAAAGAAAAATCAATTTTTGTGTGGAAATTAAATCAAAAAAAACAAGGGGAAGTAACACAAACACCTTCGGAGTCTTTGTGGTACATAGAACAAGCCACATAGTACCATATTTAGCATGGAATTTAATATGCACTCGTTCCTAATTAATTGTCGCTTTTCAGTTTAAACACTTGATTTTAGAAAAAAAAATGTTTTAAAATAATTAAAATAATCTTGATCATTTAATGATGTGATAAGAGAAAGTTAATACTTATAATTTAATTAATAAGATTAAGATATTATAAAATACATTTAATGCCGCATTAAAAATATAAAGTGACAAATAATATGAAACAAAAATATTATAAAGAAACAGTTATTATGGAACAAATAAAGTAAAAGAAAATTGCGCTTCAAAAACCAATTAGCAATACATTTATTATTTTATTTTCAAACAATGTTTTACAATATTCCAACTAATTTGGAATTATTAAAACAAAAATGATAGACCTAACTAACCATACCCTAAATCCCACCACAGCCAAAACCAGCTGCAGCTTAGCTACCTAGCAAGTACAATAGATAGTTGAAAGAAATGGCAAACACTAGAAAAATACAAATACAAAAAAACATTTAAATTATTAATTAACACGATTAACATTAGTTAAAATTAAAAAAAAAAAGAAAAAAAAGGTTACTAAATAAATAATAATAATAAAATATAATATAGGTGAATTAAGTAGAGCCCTAGGATTGACAACCTAGGATAGCTTCCTCCTCAATTATTCTTAGCATGTGATGAACTGCTCCGGCTATCTCGTCTGCTGAACTCAGTTGGCAACCTTCTTCCACCTGCATATATTATTTATTTATTTTATTTATTTATTCATCCCAAAATATGCTTTTCGAATATTTTTTATTTACATCATCACATTAAAATATTTTTTTTCCAATTAAAAAAAAATGAAATTCCCTCTTTGAGGTATAATTGCACATGGAGAAAAACTTACAATTTCAAATTCATTACCGAAAATGCCCCTCGTGAGGTAACTAGTAATTACTAGAATCGTATAGAATCTTTCCACAGTACTTAGTCGATTTTGGAAGTAGGTGACAGATTAAAAAAAAGAAAGTAGATTCTTTTGCATGCTGAGGTCATTTTCGGACTACAGTCCCAATTTTGTTACCATCACTACATATACTATGCAAATATATATACAATCTCATGAAACAAAAGAATATATCTATATAGGATTGTGTGTGTGAGTGTATTAATTGTGGTTTGCATTAATAATATGTATCCACATTTAATAATCGAACTCGAGTTTATCGCAATTGGTACCCCGTGTTAAATCGAATTTCTAAAAAACTACCTCATGTTATTTTATTGACAAAAAATCCCTAATGATTTACGTGCGCTAGCAATTCGATGTAATACAGGGGAAGTAATTGCGATAAACCCTAATTAATATGTCTAATAGTTAAATCAATTGATCGAGAGTACTAATAATAGTTAAGAAAAAAAGTAAATTAAAAGTACGTACCTTTGCGCTAATGGAGTAGAGCACGAGCAAGTCGAGAGTGGTGACATTGAGGTGAAGTATGGTGAGAGAGACGGAGTGAAACGAGGCGACGATCTTCGACAGCTGGCGGAGCCGTCGGCGGGAGAGGATTCGGATATTTGCGTGCGTTTCGATTAAAGTGACCTCGATGTCGGCAATGGCTGCCTTGCTTTGAGAAGTGTACTTATTTCCCATTTGGTTATTAGAGCAGCTAAATTGAGGGTATGCAAAGAACTGAGCAAATGGGCTAACTTGCTTAATGCTACTATTATCATCACTAATTTCTTGATCAGGATTATAATTATCTTCATTATTATTATTATTATTATTGTTACTATTATTATTATTATTGATATTATTATTATTATTAGTATTATTATTTCCTTGCTGCTCCAATAGAGTGAATTTCTTGGCTTCTAAAGACTGCAATATGTGTTCAAGCTCCTTCACAAATTCTATGGCACCACCAACAATTGAGGCTTGGTCACCCTACAAAAAATTATAATAAAAAAAGATCATAAAACACAAAAAAAGAAAGGAAAAAAAATAAATTAAAAGTATATTTATGTAATATCATGAAATGATGTTGACACACCAAATTATGAAGTTCATTGCATTGATTAAAATTTACTAATTAAAAGTAAATATGGACTGTCAAATAACACATATTTTGGAGTACTACTAATAATATTAAAATTAACTATCAATTTGAAGATACTATATATATATTTCAAGAAGAGGAGATTTGATTAATAAGTTAGAGAAAATTAACAATGCAATCCACACTTGGTTGGTGTGCATATACATATATATATATATTATTATATATAATATAAAAATATGTTGTTTATATTAATGTATTAGGAAGGACAAGGGTTTGTGATAGAAGGTGAGGTTATGCCCGGAAAGAATGAAGACAACAATATATGTCCAAAAAGACAGACAGATGAATGAGAAAAAAAATCACTATAAGAACAATTATTTTTCGAATCAAATTGTACCCTTGTCAATTTTCAAAATTCTTGTTCCCTAATTATTTCTTTTTTCGCTAACAAAAACATTTAATTTGTTATTTAGAAACCAAAATCGAATTTGGGTTCTTCACACCAAATTATTAAATTAAAAAAAAAAAAAAAAAAAAAAAAAAAAAAGGGTTCTTGATGAAGATGTTAAAAAATAATTAATAATATAATATAATTTTAATTTGGCATAGTTTGAGATTAGCTTTTTGACCGTACAAGTAGACCAGCCTTTGAATTTGCTCAAACAGTGTTGAAAAAGATTCACACACTCAATTATTTGAATAATCTTTTTTTTTTATCCAAAGATTAATGAAACAACAAAAAATCTAGGTCAAAAATTATTTAAAATAAATAAAAATACGAATAATAATTATTACATACTCTTTGAACATAAGATTCCGGCATGAGGGAGCGCAACACGGGGAGATGCTCATTCATTTGATATGCGGCGGTTCCTCTCAACAGTAATGTGCGTCATTCTCTGCGTCTCCGCCTCCTCTTTGTTCTTGCACACCTTCGGCCTCCTCCTCCTCTACTTCCGACCCTGCAACGCCGTCTCCGTCGCCGGAGGTGGGTGGCTCTGCCGTGTCTCCGGCGATTCCGAAGATTCGAACGGTGTCGGCGCAGAAACAGTAGAGTCGTACATGATGAAGTTCAACAGCTCACTCGAAGAAAGTGTTTCCAAAGCCATCTTTTTTTCTTTTCTTTTCTTTTTTTTTTTAATTTAATTTAAAAAAAAAAATTTGCTTTTGGTCTTTATAGCAGAGATTTGAATACCCCAATACTATTGACTTGCTGGATTATAAAGGCATCAATCATTTTATTGTCTTTCTTCAACTCCTTTTCTTTTTCTTTTAGAGTGAGAAAGCTAGAGAGAGAAACTAGAGAGAGAAAGCTAGAGAGAGAGAGGGAGGAATTAAGGGTTTCTTTCCTTTTATCACCAACTTTTTGATGCAGAAAGGCACAACATCAATAGTGTACTCTCACGTGCATGATATATAATATCCTTCAATCAAATTCTTTTATTATTATTGTTTTTTTTATATAATGAGGGATTTATCATCATTCTTTATTTTAGAAAATAAATAATTGTTGACATATATATATTAGGTACTCAATTCAATAAATTCTTACTATAAGAAAGGAGGAGAATTTGTTACCATAATTAGTGGTGGTGATACATTTGTAACACTAAGCTTATATTCCCTTTGTTCGGTATTAGAATATACTACGCCTTACCTCGATTAAAGTTGTATATTTATATATAAGTTTAGTATGGTGGATAGTTAGTCATGTCACATTGCATTTCTAGTAACATATGTATATTTATTGAAAAATTGTTTTACATACCCAAATCATTTTATTTTGGGAAGTTGCAAAAGAAAATAATAAAGAATGCAATGTAGATTGTAGAGTATCTTTTTTTTACGAAGGGGCAATTTTTTGAAAACCCTCGTCTCTCGAGTCTCGACCATACGAATGGTTCGTTCTCAAGTAATTAAACTCTCAATAATGAGAATTCGGTAGAATTAAGTTTCCGAGAGATCAATAATTAAACTCTTAAAAGTGAATTTAGTTGAGTACTGATATGTTATTCCCATTTTTGCGGTGGGAGATTTTAGGTTCGATTCCAATTGTGTGTACTAGTTTCGTAACGACATTTCTTTAAACTTGGTTTGCAAATTGAGTTCTCAAATATTGTACAGGCAGCGACCGATACGGTCGCGGCCTAAATATTTATTTTCAACACATAGACTTACATCAAATAAATATAGAAACATTTGATATGATAATAAAAACTCGAAAAATAGTTAAATTCATATGGTATTTAATTTGATCATATAAAAACTAATTTGAAGTTTTTAATTAACAACTAAAAAATTGGTGGTATTTTTTATTTTTACAATGAAGAACTCTACAGCCAACCATTAATAATAATATGTATTCATTGGATAAATCTCCACTTACATATATATGTACATTTGGTATAGTGTAGCATAGATTTGAACATTATTATCAATACATATATGAATATCTAATTTATATAATTTAATTTCAATCATAGAGGAGATGTCCACATGCAATTTTTTGTTTTGTGTCCATGCACACATCAATAATATTTCAAATATATAACTTTTGGATTTACTATTTGACATTTCCTCCAATTTTAATATTATAATTCATTTAATTAGATGGATAAAAATTTTCTTTTTTTCCTATGGACCAATGTCTCTTTCCATGTCTGCACCTAAAACTCCCACTTTTCAGATATATGGTTAACTCTCCGGTTAATGAAATTTCTGCTTTAATTTATACACTAGTATAGAAATATTATAACCAAGTTCTCACTTTAAGAATTGTGTTTATATATGTGTATGTATGGACATTAAAATTAAGATTAATGGTTCAAATTAAATCACTTTTATCTCCAAGTGTTTTTTTTCATCTATTAATTTGAATTTAATTAGAAATAATTCATAATCAATGTACATTTTTAATAGATAATGTAGCATATATATTTGTATCGGTGCAAAATATAGGGGTGTAACTGAGCCGAGCTCGCCAGATTTTCAAGCTCGAACTCAAACTCATCGAGCTTTCATTTGATGAGCTCGAACACAAGTTTTAGCTCAAGTCGAGCCGAGACAGTCAAGCTCGAGCTCAGCTTATTTTATATTTTTTCTAATATTCACATAATATTAATTTTAGTTTTTTATGATAAATTATTTATATGAAAAATAAAAAGTTATAGAATGAAATATAAATCTATAATTATATATATATAAAGCTCGCGAGGCGGCTCATGTGCTCATGAACAACTAAAGAATGGATTCAAACTCGAGCTCGTGGGAAAGCTCGAGCTCGAGCTTTTATCGAGTCAGCTCATCGATCTCATGAGACGGCTCAGCTTATTTGCAACTCAAGTGCAAAAAAAGGCCGTATAATTGAAATGAGAAGTGGTTTCATTCCATTCCATTGATTAAGTTATTAATACATATTATTATCTGTAAAAAAAAAAAAAAACAATTGATGGGGGGAATGAAATATTGAGACAATGTCTGAAATGTAGGGGTGGGAGTGGGACCCAAATCTATTTTGAAGTATGGATAAAAACAACATATCAAAGCTGTACAAAAGCTACCCTTCACGTTCTGATTTTTTCTTTTATTTTTCTTCTTCTTAATATTTATTTTTATTTTTTTTGGGAATCAGTAAAACACAGTCTCACCGCCCTAGGTTAGAATTAGATACACACACGTATATATATGTGTATCTATTTTATGCATACATGTATTACCAGTTAGGTTTGTGCATATCCAGGTTTCATTTTCTTGGGCGCCCGCAAATAAATTAATTTAATATAACTTTTTTTTTTTACAGAACAGTTGGAAAATGGCATATTTGTCTATGCTCATAGTTATTGTAATTTAGTATTGATAGTTTTCAAAAAAGGGGAAAAAAGAAAGAAGATCTATACAAAACGAATTTCATCTTTTATCCAATACATTATTTTACATTATTTGGCCGATGAAATAAATCTAATTATATATATACATTATTTATTCAATACCTATTTTTACATATATGCAAAAACATGTATTGGACTCCCGCGATGGGTGATCTATCGGTTGGAGCAAGTGAGCATATGTCAATTGTTTCAGATTCGAATTTCTTTGTCAATGGTCGCTGCCACACATTGTTAGACCAGTGTGATTTACGCTTGTACTGGAGTATTGATATTGAATTAATATCCCACTGACTAACTAATTATTTAGTCTGTTTGATTCGTTAGATTAAATCTATAACTAAATTTGTTAAATTTTGGTATTAAATGTGAATTGTCTAAAAAGTCTTTTAATTAACAATATTGTTTTAACCACAAAATTATCCTTTTCTTTTTAATCACCCATGTAAAATTAATCGTCGGGGCAGGGGTGCTACTAAGCTTTTTTTTTTTTCTCATCAGAAAAAACCTTCCAAACATCCTTATATTCTTCACAATTCATCCCAAACATGAGAGTAATGATATAAATTAGCTAAAGATAGAACATTGCCTTGAATATATATAGCTCCAATTTGTGAAGAATTAGAGTTAAAATTGAATATCCGAGCTTTAGATTTTTGTAAGAAAAGTGAGGAGATCGCGTGGAAAAGTAGACCAAGGAGGTTTAGGTGTTTGGAGGATTTTAGAGATAATTCTTGGTTCTTTCGACCCTACACCAGGTGATAAATACCGAATGGGTTTTCTACTGATAGATGTTATATTTAATCATTTATTATATATTCCCCACTTGAGTTTAACATTTCACATGAATTTTAGTGCTGAATTTAGCATTTCACGTGAAACAATTGATAATACAAGCGAATAACTCAGATGATATATCAATGTAGTGAATTAAATTAAATCTCTGGCTCTCGTTTTGAATTATTTTCAATCAAGTTGATACAATTAAATTCACTTTATATCAAAGTCGTTCAAAATTATTTTTTGAAATTATTTTCCCTAATTCTTATGTAAGTTTTTAATATATTTTTTTTTTTGATTCAATACATAATTTGAAGAAGGTGACAACAAGTCAGATATATGATGATGCATGCACAGGATTTTAACACTTTAAGCACGTACGATGAACTTTTTTTTATTCCCAGCAAACTTTATGAAAGATTTTTATCATTCATCGATGGGTTATATATTAATAAATATATATTCCAATAATAGTATCACGAATATAGTAAAAAGGGAGTGAATAGAGTTCTTTTTTCAGGTTATAAATGTTTTTTTCTTTTTGGCTCCGGAGTTAAATAAAATATATATATATATATATATAAATATATGTTAATTTCTCGTGACCATAGATTATAATCCACAACTCATCATGCAAAAATTGATTTGAAATTTTGTTCCCTTGGCTTTTGATTCCCATTTTAATTCCTCGACAAACTTTAATGCATATAATTTCCCTTTTGAAACAAATCAAAGATTTTGTCCTTGCTTCGATTGGCCGTGTTTACAGACACAACGATCGCCTTGAGTCCCTGATTTTGATCAGCGAAATTTCGGAGCTCAATTAATACATATATACATATTAATTTAGGGCAAAATTACAACTACTCCTCAGGTATGGTTAAATTACAAAAATCTCATCATGCTTGGGTAATTACAACCATCCAACAACTATAAATCTTTTTACATGTCCACCCTTACGGTTTCAAATTTAGTGGAATCTTCTTGATTATATGTAATATTATCATTTTTTTTACCCGTTTTATCCCATTCAAACTCCACATTTTGAAGCAAGATGATCGTAATATGTGTTTTTTGGCTTGTATATATCAGATTGTGGTGCATCAGAAACTGTATTTTTACACAAAATGAGTACAAATTAGAGCACATTCCACGAAATCTAGATGATTATGTTGAATTTAACACCATAAGGGTGGAGATGTAAGAAAAATCATAGTTAAGGGGTAGATATAATTATCCAAATAAAAGGAATTTTTTTATAAATTAATCTGACCTCAAGGGTGGTTGTAATTTACCGTTTAATTTATACATCAAATTAAACTGTAAGATACTTGTTGAGTGTGTATTTTACACTCAATGTATACTTTCTTACGAGGATTTTTGTATACTTTTATTGATTTTATGATGCTTAATGAGTGGTTTATTGTATTTTAGGTACAACTTGACGATTTGGGGGTTCCAAGGACGAAACAAGCCAAAAAAAGTCAAAAACGGGCAAAAACGGAAGAAAACAAAAGATGCTGAAAATTGGCTGAAAATGCCCGCGCGGCCGTGCCAAATTTAGCCTATTTTTGGCACGGCCGTGCCAACTACAGAAGTTGGCCAGAAGGTTTCGGCGATTCTCGTGCGGCCGTGTGAGATTTTGACTGATTTTCGCGCGGTCGCGCTG